TTGTTTTTTATTCCGGCCGAAATAAAAATGGCCTTTTCGGCTGAAAATGTTCGGTGGCCGAAAGTTCGGTGCACCCCTAGTTGTTTCACTGTATTTTCTCTCCATTGGTCTCTGTTTAGAGGAGGGAGGGACTGCTCCTGTCTCACACACGCAGTCTGCTGTGTGTTTACACGCTTGTAGCGCTAATAATTGAGGTGTGAAGACTCAGACATTTAACCAATCACTGGCTACTACTGCTCTGCGTGCACACACTTCATCCCCCCTTGTATTCCTGGTACTTAATTTTAGTACTGTCCCATGAGGGGTGCTGAAATTTAGCTCCGAGAATTGCATCCTAGTGGAAACAAATGCAAAACCCACGAGAAGCATTACTTGGCTCGACACGTGTCGGTAGGATCCTATATTGGGATTAACCCCTATTGTCATGTCAACAAATGCTGCAAGTCAGTGGTGTTCAGCACTCATAGCACCACCAGTTTGTTGTAAGGACAAGGCCATGATCTCCCTTAGGAGTAAATTTGTCTTAGAATTAAGGCATTGCTGTAGTGAAATTGGCTCTGTGGAGGGGATTGAAAATGAGAGGTCACAAGTTATTGGCCAGAGGAAGTCTTTGGGTTCAGCTAGCTAAAATAACAGGAAAGGTCTTAGTCTGTCCAGCCACTACAGATAAGGTTTCGCTTTACATCTCCTAAGGCCAATCATAAAATAGTGTGCCTTTGTGCAAACACAAAGATAAACTCACACTGACACTATTTCCCAGTAGCCAGGAATTCGAGAGACCACCTACAGGCTGTGAATTAGATTTGATGCATTTTACTCTTTGTCCATTGTGTGCGTGTGTGTGAGATGCTGTTTCTACATCATAGAAATCAGAGGTTTGACTGGTTCTTAGGAAGCGAACAAAGAGGGAGGTTTGGTCAGGAAACAATCCCCCCTAGTGTACAGCGTAGATGAACAATGTTCATGTCAGCCCACTCTCTCTCTCTCTCTCTCTCTCTCTCTCTCTCGTGTTTTTATGAATGATCGTGTTCCTCTGCTACCCTTGATGTGTCCTGTAATTACTTGAGCTCATTGAGAAATTCTATGAAAAATATACAGTGTGAGAAATGCATGATGAATTTTTGGCTTTTAATCTGTAAAATAAATGATGGAGATGGAAATAACTAGAATTATAAAGTACTATTTTATACAGTTTTTTTAGCTCAGGCCATTTTCATATCACTCCTGTTACTTCTGTCTAGCGATCACTTGTCTTGATCTCCACATCTGTAGCCTTCATACTGGTGCAGCAGCCCTCGTATGGCTTTGGTGAATGAGAAGGAGGAAGAGGAGGATGCAGAAAAGGCTCTGAAAGGAGAGTTTATAGAGGAGGAGCCAGCAGGACTAGTCTCTGGGATCAAGATTAAACACCTCGCTAAGGTGAGCATTGAAACGGACATTGTGACCCAGAGGGTCAACATGCCCCACTCTTTAGTGTAGAATAGTACAAATGACCATTATCATTACTGACTCCACAGCAGTAGTCAGGTGGTAAACAGGCAACAAGTTTACTCTTCACTTTATACCTTTTTTTTTGCTCGGGTAATGCATGTAAATATTTTGGGCTTATCACTTTAACAGGAATTCAAAGTGGGCAACAAGACACGGAAGGCAGTGCGGGATCTTACGCTGAACATGTTTGAAGGACAAATCACGGTACTGTTAGGACACAACGGTGCTGGGAAGACCACAACACTGTCCATGCTGACAGGTAGGCAGCTTAAACACCAGGGAATATACAAGCCCACAGACATGCCACTTCAATGATATTAACCCACCTGTCCTTGTGCTCCAGGTCTGTTTCCCCCCACCAGTGGTAGGGCCTATATCAATGGCTATGACATCTGTCAGGACATGGCTCTGATTCGCCGCAGTCTGGGACTCTGTCCCCAGCATGATGTACTATTTGATAACCTTACAGTCAGAGAGCATCTGCTCTTCTATGCACAGGTACTTGCATAATCATGTACAAATACACAGAACTCAACAAGAAAATACACAGATCAGTGCAAAGCACAATACAATTATTAGGATGTATTTCCATAGTTATTATTTGTTGTAGCAGTTTCTTCTACTGGTAAATTAAGCTTTTATTTAACCTTTGTTTGTCTTTGACAGTCATTTTTAATTAGGTTACCTTCCTTTCGTGAAATGCTTTATGATCTTAGTAGCAAGTCCTACCAGCTGTACTTTCCACTTCCTCTAAAATACCAAACTTTGCTTTTTTAAGAGCAAGATGGCACTTTCTTCAAGGCTCTCCAATGACACTCAAGTGAAATAGATGCTGGTACTTTGAATTAGAGTATGGTCTGTTTCTATTCACTGTCATTTTCTGTCTCATATCTAGTTGAAAGGCTACTCCAAAGAAAAAATTCCTGATGAGGTGGATCGGATAATTCGTATCCTGAACCTTGAGGACAAGCGATGTGCTCGCTCCAAGACCCTCTCTGGTGGCATGAGGAGAAAACTCTCCATTGGCATTGCCCTTATTGGAGACTCTAAGGTAAAGAACTTCACAAGCATTAGTCACTCTCATTCCTGTTGTCCCCTCCTTCCTCCACATTAACCATCTCTCATCTTCCTGACTCAATCTACCACAAGGTGGTGATGTTAGATGAGCCCACATCAGGTATGGACCCAGCAGCTCGACGTGCCACCTGGGACCTTCTGCAAGGGGAAAAGCGTGATCGCACCATTCTGCTCACCACGCACTTTATGGACGAGGCCGACCTGCTTGGTGACCGTATTGCCATCATGGCAGGAGGAGAGCTGCAGTGCTGTGGGTCACCACTCTTCCTTAAGAACAAATACGGTAAGTGAAGAGTGCTGACAAGATGTACTTTTCAGAGTTGCTGAACATGTAGTATGGTTGTTTAAAAAAAACATTCATCCTTTGCTAGAGTGAGACAGAAATGACAAAATATGTTAGTAATGTTTTATTTAGAAATAAACATATTACACTTTTGCACTTTTTATATAATTTCATGTTTTTAACACTGTTTCTACTGCTGCACTATTGTAGAAATACCTATTAATATTTCGTCAGAAGGGTACACTTTGCATATATCGCATATCAGATTGATGGCATTTCTTTCTCCTTCTCACCAGGTGCTGGCTACCATATGGTGATAGTAAAAGATGCACTTTGCAATGTGTCCGAAATCACCCGCCTTGTCCACATGTATGTTCCGAACGCCACAATGGAGAGCAGCGCTGGAGCTGAGCTTTCTTACATCTTGCCCAAAGAAAGCACCAGCAGGTGGGTCAGTCCGGTCTTTGTACATGCATAGAATACTAACACCAACACAGTGGAAAGTGT